AGTGCAAAATTTTTCAAATTTTGGTAATTCCACATCGAATCACATAATCAAACACCATCCAGAAACAATCGGATAAATAGGTCACATGAACGCGACTGATTGATTGCGCTCGTAGCTAACCGGATGGGTTACGATTCAAAACTAAACACTCATTCAAATGAGGCGCTTACTGGAGCACATGCTACAATCTTTGGCCACGCCATAAAATACGAGATCAACAAGGAAACTGATTAAAGAATATAGATACATAAAATTTGTTTGCGTAAAAAGCCTTTCACTTAATAACAAACGGCACTTACTGATTCTGTAAGTCGAATATACGTTGACAGAACTTTTTGTACTTTTCCTGCATATCAGCAAAATTGAACCGAATATTGCCACGTGCAAAACGTGCCATACCTTCAAAAAATATTCATCTCATAACAACACGACAACACTTCTTCCAGTGGCGACTCGCAACAACAATTTTATCGTTCATCTCTATACCAATAAATAAACGAACAAAAAACGAACAATTTCAAAAAACAATATCAGTGATTTACCAGAAAAATCCGATCTCGCTTTCGCTGCTTGTGTTGACAACGTTCGAATAACGTCAATGATTTCCCATCGACTCAATGAATTGATCTAAAATTCATATCAACACATTCAATCCTAAAATAAACATCAAGTAAAAAATGTGCTCATTGCTTTTACTCACTCCAAATCTAACCAAATATAACTGCTAATAAAATTGATTTCGAACTTAAGATCAGCACTAAGAAAAAAGAAATTCTTGAAACTTTTTGAATATAAGAAATATGATCAAGCAAGAATGAACGATGTGCACGATTACTGCTCACCTCCTCTTCGCGTACACCATAATCACGACAGATTTCTTTCGCTTCTTTCAGTGGCAACTTCCTCAGATCAGCATTCGTTCCGGTCACTAAACGTTTCGGCACGTTCGGTACTTCCTCCTGACAATTCAACGAAACCATATTAACAACTCCAAACCTACCTTCAGCAAAATCAAAACAACTGCAAAATGCAACATCAAACAGTCGCACACAATCACATTACGTCTTCAGTGTACCACTTTAAAGAAAAAATTCACATTTCAATGTACCCAAAAAAAAATAACACAATCAATTTCACTTCGTCTTTCAAAAGCGCAAAAAATAACCTTCGCTTTTTGGGGCTTAGCACTAACTCGCACGTACGAAAAGCCCTCGCCACACCCGGTCGGATCGGCAATACCCGTTTGATCCAATAGGCATTTGCCTTTCATCGACGATATATAGGCACGGGTGGTATTCCACGGAGCACATTTAATCTGAAATTTTATCAGGCCTCGTAAACAATCACTTGACTGCAAACACAAAATACAATGAATAAGATCTGAAATATTCGAACAAACTTATACACATTACACTTGAGTATAGCATATCGCACTCTGCAACGTTCTCAAAACTGAATGTCAACTCTCAAACGAACTAAACAAAGAAATAGATTCATTCAAATAGATTCAATAGACTTACTCAGTCTAGATTCATTTCAGATGAGAAATTTAATGGTCAGAAATGAATGCAATGAATATCCAGAGATTCAAGAACTTGTAAACTTCGACGGCACAACAGTGAATACGATTTTATCAATCAATCGCTTGCTATCTCCAGCAGTCACAAACGTCGTTGACATAAATCGAAACAAGTTGATATAATTCAACTAGCACCCACCTCATCCTCAATTGTC